CTGTGCCCTTCCCCCTTCTGAGCTGCTTTCTCTCCTGTCACCTTAAGGTGGTTATTTGTGGAGATGATGTCATGGCCCCACTTCTGGGGACAGGCAGAGCTGGTGCAAGTCACCGCTCCAGCACTCCCCAGGTGCTCTGCCTCCAGCCACGGCCTCAGGTTTTGTGTATCTGGCGCAGGCAATGGCTGCATCTGGTTCGCAGCACTGCGTGAAGACTGAAGGGTGACATCTCACTGGCTGTGCAACACAGCTGTTGGTGACTAAAAGCAGGGCATTAAACAGTCTTTTCTACAAGCGCCTATGAGTGAGACACCCTCTGCAGCCCCTCTAAAGAAGACCTCCTGAGAGTGTAGGAAGCAGGAGGAGGATAAGGCCAGGGAAATCTCTCTCTCTCTCTCTCTCTCTCTCTCTCTCTCTCTCTCTCTCTCTCTTTACAGTCACTTGCCATCACCAAATCAATGAGTTTTCATTCTCCCCCAGTGATGTAGCAGGAGAAACAGGCATTCCAAAGGCACAGTGGTTCTGCCCTGCTTGCAAATCTAAAAGCAACAGTAAGGTGCCTAGTGGGACTTGTCAGGGTCTCCAGCTCTCAGCTCAGTGTCCCCTTTCCCTTACTAAGGGCTTTTATCCATATGCACGGAGTTATATAAATTCTAGAGGCAAAGAAGATTGAGGCTTCAATTGGAGGTGACTCTGAGGATAGATGTCCTATGTCACGGGTTAAATTCATGTCCTTCTGCCAAAAGATGTTGAAGTACTGTGCAGGCAGCTGAGTTAGTTAGAAATACTATGGGCAGTGAGACAGGGCTGGGTCCTGGAAGGAGCTAATACAGAAGCCCAGATAGCTTGCAGCAATGGGGGAGACAGACACCTCCTGCTGTGGGCCAAGCCTCAAACAAATCAAACAAATATATCCATATCCTAAGGACTGATAATCTAAATAGTACACTATCACCCTGAGGAAGTCAGGAGTCACCATCCCAACTCCTTAAGGAAACAGTCACAGCTCTCCAAGAATGCCCGCTTTCTATGAGACTCGCTTCCCCGTTTGTCCCTAATCTAATCAATTTTACCTGAACTATTAATCTTGTTGGTTAACTATAGCTCTGCCTCATCTTATGCCCATCTGTCTGGTGAGTTCCCAATTTTCCCTACCTTGAACCTGTCTCACTCCATGATTTTGTTCTATCAAAGCCCCTGGAAAAGACAGAGTCATTGGCAAACAACCCACTTGGGACCCCTTCTGTCTCTCTCCGACAGAAACTTTCTTTCTCTCAGTAAATATATTCTGCTGTTAAATTCTGTTGTTCCTAAAATTCATTCTTCGATTTTAGAGAACATGAACTCATACTGGACAGAGTAGGTCAGGAGTTTCATTCCCCTGTATCATTACTAACCCTCAGTACCTCTCAGAACGTAAACTTATGAGGTCACTGGAGGTGAGTCCTAACTGAATACTGATTTTTTTAAAGAGAGGGAAATTCATTCATTCATTCATTCATTCTTTCTTTCTTTATTGTGGTACTGAGCCTTGAACCCTGAGAAAGGCTGTGATGAAATGCTCCAGTGGCACTGGCCCGAAAAGGTCAGGCCCATGTGAACAAGAAAGATTTTCCATTGCAGGAGGTGGCATCTGGAGGTCCCCAGGAAATGCATGCAAGAACCCTCTCTCTAATGCTGCCCATGAGCCAGACACCATGTTAGTGCTGGCCATGTGCTTTATCATTACAGAGTCTTACGTGCACATGTTACAGAAAAAGCTGCTGAGGATGAAGAAAGCTGAGATTCAAACCCAGGACAACTGAAGTTTATTGTTATTGTATTATTATTTGTGTTTTTGAGACAGGGTCTCGCTATGCAATTCAGGCTGGCCTTGAGCCCACTTTGTAGTCTCCATTGGTCTCAAACTCACAGCAATCCTCCTGCCTCAGCCTCCCAAGTGCTGGGATGACAGGCATGCACCACCTCGCCTGGCCTATGTTTATCATTATTTTACATATACTCTATGTAGATGTTGAAAACAAGCTTACTGTGTCTAGTCTGTGATACCAGAGGCACCTCGTATCTTTTTTTAAACAACATTTCTTTTTGTTTTGACTTAAGAAACTTACTGGTACATAATAGCTGTAAAGAACAATGGGTTTTGTTCTGGTATAATTGTGTATGTCTGTAATGTACTTTCGTTTTTTTTTTTTTTTACCGGTACCAGGGACCGAACTCACAACCGCCTGCTTTCAAGGCAGGCGCTTATGCCGCTGAGCTAAATCCCCAGCCCCCTGTACTTTGGTTTTTTAACTCCCCACCCTGCTATGCCTTTTCTGTTCCTTCTACTCACTCTTTGTCCCCTTTCTAGTAGTTTCCTTTCTACTTTCCTGTGACGTCTTTTCCCTCCATTTTTTCTTTTTTAGATTCCACATGTGAGAAACAACTTTCAATATTTGCATTTCCTGGGGACCTCCAGTCTGAGTCTGGCTTATTTCCCCTCAAACAATGGTCTTTGTGTCCATCTATCTTTCTGCAAAGATTCGATTTTGTTGTTCTTTAGGACTGAATAGTGATCCATGGTGCGTTTTCCTTATCCATTTATCCACAGGTTTCCACAGTTTAGATTATGAACTATGCCACAATAAACTCATGCATGCAGATATCACTGTAGTATGGTGTCTTTAGTTCTTTCAGAGACATACTGATGGTCTAGCTGGATCAAATGGTACCTCTATTTTAGTTTGTGAGGAGCCTCTATATTGATTTCCATAGAGACTGTAAAGATCAGTGTGGGAGGATGCCTCCCCTCCTTCCAGCATTTACTGTTGTCTGGTATTTATTTAGTTTGTTAGCATTCTTGAGAATACCATTCTGACTGGAGTAAGATGGAATTTCAGGGTATTTTCTATTTGAATTTCTCCAACAGTTAAATATTTGAACATCTTGTTATCTACTTGATGGTCATTCTTTTTTTGAGACGTGTCTGATGAATTTCCTTGCACATTTATGGATTAGGTTACTCAGGAGTTTTGTTGTTCTTGATTTGTTTTCTGCTGTTTTTATATTCTAGACATTAATCCTCTGCTGGAAAAGGTAGCTGGTAAGGATTTTCTCCCATTCAGGCTGTCTATGCTCTGTTGATAGTTTCCTTTGCGGTGTAAAATTTGATATAATTTGTGGTTTTAATTTGATATCATGCCATTTGCAGGTTTTTGCTTTTACTTCCCGTGCTTTTGTGGTCCTACTGAGGAACTTTTTACCTATGCTTATGATAGCAAGTTTTTCTTTCCTGATTTCTTCCATAAGTTGCAAGATTTCTGGTCTTATACAGAAGCCTTTGACCCATTTTGATGTGATTTTAGCCCAGGGTGAGAGCTAAGGAGTCAGGGTTAGTCTTCTCCATGTGGAAATCCAGTTTTTCCAACAGCATTTGTTGAAGAGGCTGTCTTTTCTTCAAGGTATGTGCTGTATAGTTTTGATCCATTTGTCTAAAATCAGATGCCTGTTGGTGCATCAGGTTTGTTTCTGTGTCTTTTATTCTATTCCATTGGTCAAAATGCCTGGGATTGGTTTTATTTTTGTCTTGCCAGCCTGTGTTGCTTTTTCTACTCTGGCTTTGTAGTGTAATTTCAAATGCTGTGTCATTCATTATTGTTGATAGGAAAGCTGTTGACTTTTGTACATTGTTTCCTTTTATCTTGAGACATTACTGAATTTATCAGATCTAGAAGTTCCCTAGTGATTTTTTTAGGGTCTTATAAGTCAAGGAACACATCATCTGTAAGTAGGGCTAGTTTCATTTTTTCCTTTCCTATTCGTATCCATTTTATTTCTTTCACTTGCTTAGCTGCACTTGCTAAAATTCCAAGGACTATATTAATGTAAATGTACCACATCTCTGCGTTGCATCCAAAGAACTACATAAAGTGATTATCTATACCATCAGTTATGTAAGCGTAACTATGACATACACACAATGATGATTGCATCAACTAAGGAAACCAAAATTTTAAAACATTTGAATACCATAGAAACCAAAGACAATACAAAAGTTACAAGACAGAGATGAAGTCTAGCTAGAAAATTAAAAAAGCAAGGACTTACCATATCTGGTCCTCATGAGAAAGTGTGGCCAGTGCCTCTGTCCTGAGTGTGGAGGGTGTGGCTGGGCATGAGGAACGGGCTGCACTGGGGAGCTGGGGCCTCCTGGATCCCATCCTTGGCCCCTGGCTCCTGGACTCCAGAAACTCATAGGACCCTCCAGACTCTCAGGTGACCTTGAGCTGAATGCTGTGCTTCTGGCCTGCTTTGTCTTGTTCAGCTGCCTCCTGGTATCTGCAGAGGAACCACTCATGCTCCTGATCTTGAAAAATGCGTCTTTCCTTGGGAATCTCCCGGGGGAGATGGGCCCTTCCAGGCACAGCCCCTCTGCAGAAGGCCGAGGTGGGGGCACATGATGCTCACCCAGGATTCTGGAGGTGTCAACCAAGTTAATCAAGGCTCTGGTGTCCAAGTATGTAATTCCTCCTGGGCAGAAGAGAGAAAGGGGAAAGAATCAGACTTGCTTCTGTAATTTAGAAAACTTAGAACCACAAATATGTATATATCAGAGGAGATAATTTTCTGTAAACAGTGTCCAAATAACAAACAAATGGCCTTTGCAAACAGAGGTGTCTCATGCTGCTTATCAGCTAAGTGTTACTTCTCAAGGTTGGTATCTCCCTTCCCCAAATTCATATTGCTGAGACCTTGGTATGCAAACTGATAGTTACAAAGAGATGCCAGGGAGCTTCCTGTCTTCTCCCACCATGAAAGGACAAAGCAAGGCAAGGAAGGAGATTCCAGAAGCAGGAAGAGGCCTTACCAGACAGCAAATATCAGATACTCAGTTTATGGCACTTTTGTGACAGTAGCTTGAATGAGTTAAGACATGTAGTGGAATGATATTTTAAATTTGGCATGGACTACTAAAATTAGTCTACTCATTTGTTTGTTTGTTTTTGTTTTTGGTACAGGGGATACAACTCACAACCTCATGCTTGCCAGGTAGGTGCGTATTCCACTGAGCTAAATCCCCAGCCCTTGGAATGATATTTTAAAGTGGGTTAAATGACATGGACTGGCATCAAACTCATGACCTGGAACTTGCAAGGCAGGCACTCATGCCACTGAGCTAAATCCCTGGCCCTTCTCTTTTTACTTTCTTATTCCATTTCACATGAGTAGATTTTAAATTAGAAGTGTGGTTTGCATTGTATTTCTGTTAGATCACACTAGGACTGGTAGTCTGCAGGATTGCAAAATGCACGAAGAAAGGAAAAATACCAAATTTTGGCAAACAGTTGCTCTAGGTTATAACACGAACTTCAGGCCCTGATTCTCCTTGGTAGAAGATTGCCTGAGGACAGAGCTGAGGTCTGTTTCTCTGTAGAATCCAGGGACCACACAGGGCTGGGGACAGAGTGGTGCTCAAGCAGGGTTGAAATCACCAGGGTGGATGCCACAGCCTGCTTCCTGCTGACTGAGAGGCCTCTTTGAAAGAGCTCTAAGCTCTCTGAACTTCCATGTCTTCTTCTGTAAGATGCATGTAATGAAGCACACCTCCCAGGATTTCAGGAGAAACTGGAGCCAACATCATGAGTTTTTAGCTGGACTTCAGTACTGCTTAAAGACTGCTACCTCCATGCATCAGTTGGTGGTTTCCTACATGTGAATCGCTCTCTTTTAAGATTTACAAGCATAATTCCTTTTGTTGTTCTTTCCGTTATTGTGCTTCCCAGATCCTACTTTTTTAAAGTTGAGCTTTTGGCAGCCTTCCCTCAAGAAAGTCAATCTGTGCTCTTTCTCCGGAGCTCATGATTATCTGCATTTTCAATGATACAGTAAACCTTAATTAAACACGTCTGTTGTTTTCAGAGATAATGCTATTGCACACTTAAACTACGATGTAATGGAAATATAAATTTTATATGCTCTGAGAAATGAATTCAGCTTGTCGTGCTATTCACTTTATTGTAGTAGTCGGGAACCGAACTCTCAATATCTCCATAGTATAACTGTCCTTTGTGTTGTATTTATCACAGGCTGTGTTCTAAGAGAATTTGGGACAGACTGCAAAGACACAGCTGATATCAAGAGTGTATTTAAGAGTATATTAACAAAGAAATATCAAAGGCTGAGGATGTGACATAGCCCAGCATACATAAAACCTGGCTTCCTTCCCTGTGATAGAGAGAGAGAGAGAGAGAGAAAGAGAGAGAGAGAGAGAGAGAGAGAGAGAGAGAGAGAGGTAGAAGGAGGAGGAGGAGGAAGAGGAGGAAAAGAATAAGAGGAAGAAGGGAAGAAAGAAAGGAAGAAATGTAAGGTGGGAAGGGAAAACAAAAGGAAAAATCAAAGCAAAGTTAAAAAGAAGAAGCAGATTTCATTCAAATTCCTAGTTATAAGTGATCTCTGAAAACAAACATGTATAGTGGTCCAAACCAATCCACTTCTGAAATTAAGGATAAATAAACCAACTGGTGTTTACTGTGGACATACTTCCTAACACAGTCTTCACAATTCATTACCAATATAAATTCTACCCCAGATTTTCTGTAGGGTTGGTGTGCACACACTGTATGTAGTAGTGGTTGGATGGATGACTGGATGGACTGATGCATGCATGAATGGATGGATGGGTGGGTGGATGGGTGGACAGACAAATGCGCATTTGGACGGAAAGAAGAATGAATTGTCATGGATAATGAAAGATCAGTATCCCTATTCTCCCCTTCTATCTTAATTTGCTCTGCTTTCTTAGCCTCCAACTCGTAATCTGCCCCATTTACTGTATTCTACACAGAGCAGAGTGAGTGGTAGGTTTTCACTCTGAACTTCCAGCTGCTGAAGCAATCATCAGCTCTCCCCGAAACAACTCCAAAATCTCCGGTTCCCTTGAATCCATTCTTACCTTCTCCAATGCATCCTTCTTAGAGCTTAAGGGGTCCTTTGATGCTCCACCTATAGCGTAATGCTTAAAGCCTTTATCACTGCTTCCCAGTCTGCATGATTCCCATGCCAAATCCTTCTCCCCCCTCTTGCTTCTTTTAAAATCACTTATCTTCTCATTTTCAGGGCACTCCCACCAGTTTCTATCAAAAAGCAGCTGTCTTTCCTGCCCCAGGGCTTTTGCACTGATTGTTCTGTGTCCAGGAATCTTTCTTCCACTCCTGAGCCTTAGTAACTCTTTGTCTCCCATAGCTGCATCAGATTGTGCATTACTGATGGTTTGGGCTAATACTTTTTGTTGTGAGAAGCTGCTTTCTGTGTGGAGAATTTTTAGCCACATCACTGGCTTCTACATTACTAAGAGTCAGTAGCATTGCTCCTTATTTCTCAGTTGTGACAACCAAGGACTTCTCTAGACATTGCCAAATGTCTCCTGTTGGCAAAATCCCCCAAGGTGAGCCCCTTTGCTCAAAGGATGGCAACACTAGGCCAGACTAGGGAGGAGCACAAGTGATTCTTCAACAGTCTGGTCTGATGCAGGAATTATTTATACTCTCTGAAAGAGGGTTGTATATTACTTGCGGGTCACAGATCCACTTGAGAACCTAACGAACACCATTATATCTTGGAGAAGGGAAGGAGCCATGTATCCTCTAAACCCATTACCTAAATATTCAGGAAGAAACTGCCCATCCAAAGTCCTAACCTGTAAAGATGGACAGACTACAAAATGATGGGCTCCAAAGTGGTACCCAAAATATGGCACCTTGGTATTTGAAAACTAGGAGAAGTGAAAGGTCACTCTAAACTTTCTCTTTCCTTTCTCCTTTGAATCAGACCATAAAAACCTTACAAACTGCCTTCTTGTTGTGGTTTATATCTGGATGTCTCCCCAGAGCTCATGGGTGGGGTTTTTTGTTTACAATTTTTTAAAACCTTTTTATCAGTACTGGGGAGGTACTGGGGATCCGAACTCACGACTGCCTGCTTGCAAGGCAGATGCTTATGCTGCTGAGCTAAATCCCCAGCCCCTGGGTGGGGTTTTTTGAAGGGTGAGAGGACCATGGTGAGCTGCAGCTGGGCACGCTGCTGGGAGGTGAGGCCTGGCTAGAAGAGTCGGTGGCTGGGGGGCTGGGCGGGAAGGGTGTGTCTCCCTCCCTGGCTTCCCTCTTCTCTCCCTGCTATGCTATGAACAGCTATCTTGTGCTCAGGCCACTTCTGCCCCACAGCCAGCTCACCATGGACTGAAACCTCTAAAAAATGTGAGCCGAAATGAATTTCATCTTCTTTAGCTTCCAAGGGCCAGGATTTTTGGTCCCAGTAAGGAGGAAGTGACTAAGCCATCCCTGTGTTAGTCAATGTTTGGTTACTATCCTGAAACAGCCAAGGCAGGTGCAGAGGCACAGGTGGCTGCCCAGCCAGCACGAGGTCGTGAGTTCAATCCTGAGTACCAAAAGAAAAAAAAATTATTTAAATCAGCGTTGGGGGCTCAAGGGTGTGGTAGCAGGATCAGGTCATTTGTGCTCGGGACCTCCTGGCAGATGGTTTCACAGAAGGGAGAGCACATAGGAGGTAAGTGATCTCAAGGCCAGATAAAGAAGTCGGTGAGTAACACAGGGACTGGATTTCTTCTCCTAACAAACTGCTCTCCCAAGGCGTGTTTCAAGGTTCCACAAGAACTTCCTTAACCCCTTCTAAGGGCAGGAGCTCCAGACAACCAAGGACTTCCCAAGGGTTCCCAAGGACTGACCCAACCACTTACCATTGTCTCCATCCCTTACAGCCCCCGCGTCCCCCCACCCCCGCCGTCCCTTAATATTGTCACATTGAGAACAAAGCTTCAAATCCAGGCATTTGGAGACAAAGCATAACGACATCTTAGCAACCATCTTCTAACCTCAGAAAAGGCACTTCTTCATCTTTGAAGATGTAGAGACACAGAGAAAATTCTTAACAAAGAGCCCTTGCATAGTTTGCTCTGGTTTATTTACATTAGCCCTATTTTTGTTCCACATTTGTTTCCAGGCTGTGCACCTCTTCATCAAATCTGGTATAAAAAAACACACAGGTTTTCCCATTGCACTGGGTCTGCCTTTTCAGAGGCTTCTGCGTCATGTAAAACTTACGTAAGACAAGCATACGTAATTATGCTTTTCTTGTGTTTTCATCTATCTTTTGTTGTAGAAGCCTCCATCAAGGACTAAGCGATGGATGAGAAAAGATATTTCTTTTCTCTTGCAATATCTTTCAGACATTTTTCTCAGTAATGTAGTGTTAATGCTTATATACTCCCCTTCAAAGTCAAAAAAAGAAGAAAAAGCATAAAGATAGAAAAAACAAATTGAAACTTAAATAAGGAAATCAGAGGAAGGGGGAAAAAGTAATGTTTACAAAGGGTTAGTGCCTCAGTTTCAAGGCACATGGTTTTTTATGGTGAGTCAAGTTTGCGTGTAAACTTGGCTCTGGGCCGATGTAAGGGGAGAAATGTAATCGGCTAATATGATCTATTGTCCTAAGGGAATATCTCAAAGAGAGGCCAGTGTTTGCTCTCCTCCCTCTCACGCCTTTTGTGCTTCAGTAATTTCATCAGAATACAGTTTTAGGCTCAGTAAGTTCAAAGGTTTTGAGAACGTAGAGCTTTGTTAAAAAATTTCAGCCTAATTTCTAAATGCCAGTATGGATCCAAAAAGCTTCTAGCATATTCCCTGCTCTGCAGCACGTGGCAGGTAAAAGTAATTCTATTTTAATAATTTTCAGAACTAAGCAGTAATGAGAATATTACAGACATCCAGCAGGTGGAGAAACTGAGGCTTAGGGAACCCACAGATCAGAATCACACGGGTGGGCAGCTTCAGGGAGCCGTGTATGGAGGCTCAGGTAATGGAAGTTTGCCTTACGATGGTTTGACCAGAGGATAGTGCAAGAGCAACATGCATTCAGCAGAAAACAAACTTGGATTTTTTTCCTCCAGGCTGCTAATATGGGCTCTGATATCCTCTGCAGATCCTGTGGGTGGCAGAGACTCACTGTCATCGGTCAGACCTAAGATCAAGCAGGGA